TGTAGTTAATATTTTTACGTACTAGTTTTATATTTAATATTTAGTATATAAAAAAAATTTTCAATCTTACATGTTTTATTAATGAAAAAGTTTATTTTTTTTTGCTCTTATACTGAGAAGCTTGTCAACAAAGTGACGAAGCGATCATTATTGCAAGATCAGATGATTTTATAGTAGATCATATGCAACATTCGTATGTGTATCCCTTATGGAATAAGCGTGTTTTATGGCTTGTACGTACCTTGTTGGATTCAAGTATTTTTGAGAGTAATGCCAGAATAACATATGAATATTCAAAATTGGTTATTCATGAATTAGATTAAGTGGTAATTATGGTTTGTAAGCTAAAGGAAGGATAATGGAGTTTATATGTGAATTACGCGTAGGCTAGGGAGAGTTGATAATCAGTTTAGAGATAATATATTTAAGTATTGTTTTTTCGAGTAAATGTCTTTATCTTTCTGTTCGCTATTACTCACCCAGTAGTTAGAGCTGGCTTCATTACCCACCCAACCTATCCGGTTTAAGACACAGATTTCTTAAACTTCTCAGTTGCAAAAGCAATGCAAAGACTTATTCTAACAGGCTCCACGGCTGCAAGGCAGTGCAAGGACCTTGTAATATGAATATGAATCTTAAGGTCCTTAGGAAATAGGTAAGCTATTAGGCTTCAAGGCTGCAATAGCAGTGCAAGGACCTTGTTTTTGTAAGTTTTAGGCTCCAAAGCTATATTTGCAGTATAAGGACCTTATACTATTTAATATTTCAGCTCCGCGGCTGTATTTTTAGTGCAAGGACTGTTTTTACATTAATTTTCTCTATAGAGGTTAATATGCTATCGCACACCTCACCACGATCGATTCTCATCATAGCTATGAAAATTCACAGAGAAACTCCTGAGTTTAGGGTTCTATTTTATTGCAACTAAATATGTAATTTAGTATAGTTTAGGTTTATTATAGTGAACCTATTCCTATATGTTATTTCGTCATTTTTATATATATTAATAAAGTATCTGATCGAGTAATAATAAATGTCATTATTTACATCATTATTATCTATCTAATATAGTATACTTTAATGACTACCAAAAATTTTAGCAGATCGATTAAATTTTTATTGAAATACAGTAACAATGACATTTAATCAAAATTTTGGTATTCGTTGATATATAATTATATCACTGACCTGTGACAGTGAAATAAATCTATAGCACAAAATATTTAAAAATATTTCTGCAGTCATGACAATCACATCGTAATTTTCAAAATTGTTTCTCTAGCACTAGTATTTTTCGCTCTAAAGATTGATACCCATTTCACCACAAAATGATCACAGTCTGCTTTGATCATGTTGGCTTATTAGAAAACAAAATAACAAGATTTACCAGAGCTTGGTCTTTAAAAATAATAAACATTTTTCCTCTTTAAAATAATTATAAATATCATCTCTTCATCTATAATACCATCTTCAAAACGCTTTTATAAAATTATTATAATAATTCCATAAAATAATTTTTTTTTGAATTGAACTTTATTTACATAAGTTATAATTGCATCTTTTAAAAAGTTTAATTGCTTTCTCAAATTGTATTCCTGTGAATTGTGATATCTTCAATACATAATTAAATTAGAGTTACTTAATTAAATTTAATATACATAACAATACAATTATTACATGTAAATATAAATAATTAAATATAAAATTCACAAATTGTAAATTATTTTATTGCTGGTAAGATGTCCAATAATTCTTCTAGTCGTCAAAGCCAAGAAAGTACAGAAAGCAATTCAGAAAATTCTATCAAACAAAATGTAAATTTGGATACTTTACAAAAGTCTGCATCAAACATATTTCACGTACAATATACCTCTATACAAGAATTTAGCGAAGGTAGTTTTCATAAAGTGTACATCTTAAAGATGGAAGATGGTAAAGAATATATTGGGAGAATAGCATTCCCTGTATATTCACAATAGAAGACAAAAAGTGAGGTAGCTGTTATGGAATATATTTGTTTAAATTCGAACATTCCTGTTTCCAAAGTTTATTATTAGAATAGTTCTGTAAATAATCCAGTAGGAGCAAAATATATTTTAATAGAATATTTATCTAGTATTCATCTTTGCAATATCTGAAGTGACCTCTGCATAGAAAAAAAAAGATGTTTCTATTAAAAATTATTGATATTCAATTGGAACTTAAAAAACTTTCATTTTCAAAAATTGGTAGTATTTTTTTTGATGGTAAAAATGATCAATTTAAAATTGGTCAGGTGATTGAAAGTGACTTTTTTACTGGTGAACGAGCAACTTTATCAACCATGGAAAGAGGTCCTTTTGACACAACTAATGAATATATTTCAGCTGTTATTCGAAATCAGATCCTTTATCATTATACCTTTAAATCTATAGAACAACAAAAATACTGGATTCCAAAATATGAAGAATTATATAAATTAGTTCCTAAATATTTTCTGGATGAAAACAAATACACATTTGTATTGATGCATGGAGACTTTTACTCGTCAAATATTTTAGTCAATGATGATGAAATCACAGGAGTTATCAATTGGAAATGTTCTGGCATATTTCCAATAGAGTGCCTATGTACTTTTCCAGTTTGGATAATTAACAATCAAATGATAGAACAAACTAGCGAGAAGTCTGAAGAAAATGTAATACTACAGAAATTTTTTCGTGATGAAATGTCTTGTCGTAATCCTGATTTTCTTCGCATATTTGACAATATAAATATAGATGAGGAAAAAAAAGAATTTTATTCCGTAGTATTTAGTCAAGAAGTATGAAAAGTAGAAGATTTTTTTAATAAATTTGGAAATAGAATTTTAAAGAATTATTCTAATTCAAATTATAGTACTAGCAATTGAAATAATGTGAATATTGATAGGTAGAGTGTCCAATTAAATTCGGTTTTTATTGTTTAAACAATAGAACAGAAGTTGAATCTCATAATCTTGGATACTCTTATTGATCGGTTATAGTTTTTAATATAATTTTGTTAATTCAGAACTAGGGTACGAATTTCATTATTGACAACTTGTACCTTTTTTCAGATAGTTGAATATTAATATATAGTAACCAATTTTTTTAACTTAAAAAAATTATCATAATTAAGACGCGCTTATGGCAATAATTCAATTATAAATTTAATGGATATAAAATCTAATAAAAATCACAATTTGTTAATTAAATTGTATTAAGGAATTTTCAAGAATATTATTGTTTTTAAAAAAATACTATAACAATCAAATATAAGAACATTTATTCTAAAAATATTTTAATAAAAAAATAACAAAACTTTATTTGGTATAAAAAAATTGTAATTGTAATTAAATTATTAAAACTAAAAAACTTTTATATTAGAAAAATAAAGAAAATAAACTTTAGTTTTTTGTGTATCAATATTTTTGATTCTTAAGTATCACTCATAGTCACATTACTTTTTGTTAACATTGTCAGTTATTAAAGGAAATAGTAGAATAACCAGTTTTGTTATTTTTGTAAACACTGCATTTCTGTTCATACTAATCAAATGAATATTTTGATTTTCATTATTCATAATTGGCAAGTTAAAATTCAATGAATTGATTAATATTAATAAAATTTTTAATTTAATATTTTTAAAACAATACAAGATTAAGCCTAACTTAATTTTAGAATATCTGTATTAATCAAGCGTTTTGATTAATAAGAGTTTACAAATATGATAGAAAATTGTAATGAGTTACAATTCTTTCTTCTACATTAAGTTCAAATTTGTTGTATTATTTGTTGTCATAGTTCAATTGTACTGTATTGTAAGAGATTATTCAATTAAGTGAATCCTAAATTCAGAGTTTGATATAAATATTATATCTACTTGTATATTAAAACCATACTTAGAACAAATAAATAAATATATATATATTCTAAACATGGTTTTACTATACAACAACCTATTATTTATTTTCTCTATACCTAACCCAAATCATAACCATTATTGTCAAATATGTAATAAATCTGGATTTTGCCAAAAACATCAGATAAAATGTAAAGAATATAATTTTGTTCATAGTATAAGACAAAAATATTGTTTTAGATGCAAAATAATACAAAACTCAAAAAGAAAACATGTAAGATTGAAAATTTTTTTTATATACTAAATATTAAATATAAAACTAGTACGTAAAAATATTAACTACA